TTTCACAGCCAGAAGTTATAGGGGTTTCTCTTCCTGCCACTGGAACCCTGGGGTGGGAGCTTGGTGTGCATCGATATGTTGGGAAAGAGCCAAGTGTGAGCGCCGGGCGGGATCCCTCAATTTTCAGGAGGCCTCTGAGCTGCGAGTTTCCCCTCCTAATTTTTAACCTACACATGTGGGTGTGGGACTAGCCTGTTCAAATCTCTGCCCCTCCTACCAATCTCCATTTGGCTTCTTTATGTCCTTAATTATAGGACTTCTGGTCAGTCAGAGCTCATGTCATTCTCAATAATGGCTGTACTGTAGTTTAGTTTTAATTATGATGTGATCTTTGGAGGATGCCAGTACCATCTTTACCTATTTAAGCGTTATGACTTGCTGGGGTGCTGGTGCTATTGTTATCCTAGTTTACAGATGGGAAAACATGCACAGTGAAGATCAGTTAGTTGTCCATAGTCAAATAGCTAATAAATGGCAGAATTAGAAAATTTGGATGCACTCTTAACACATTGTATGCGGGAAATGTATTTATACGTTTTACTTATATGTTTTACGTTGACTGGTAGTAGAGTGCGGGACACGTATTAATACGTTTTTTATAGACTAGTGGTAGAATGCAGGTAACATAAATACGTAAACTAAAGTTATCGTAATTTTACTGAACGTTGCCATTTGCGCAAAAAATTAGCAAAAATGGCCCACGCCACCTGTTAGCGCGCGATAAAAACTACCCGCAAACAATGTGTTAACACGCAGCACTGCCTTCTGTACATGAATTTTTGTTCACGTATACAATTATTACTAGAGGCCCGGTGCACGAAATTCGTGCACTTGGGGGCGGGGGGGGTCCCTCAGCCCAGCCTGCGCCCTCTTGCAGTCTGGCAGCCCTGGGGGGGGGCGGTGTCCAACTGATGGCTGGAACAGGCCTATGCCAGCATCCTTAGCTCTGCCGCGGAGGTGGGAGAGGCTCCTGCGCCGCTGCTGCACTCACTAGCTGTGAGCCCAGCTCAGGGCTTCTGACTGAGCGGTGCCCCCTCTGTGGGAGCGCACTGACCACCAGGGGGCAGCTCCGGTGCTGAGCATCTGCCCTCTGGTGGTCAGTGCATGTCATAGCGACTGGTCGTTCCACAGTTTGGTCGATTTGCATCATCTAGGATAGCAGCTTCCTGGAGGTGAAAGTGATTTTTAAGTGCATTCTCCATACTCCCTACCATCCCCCCCAAAACTGTGACAGTGGCTTACATAAAGAAATAGGTACATGTTCCTGGGGAAAAACTATGCGTCACAGAAAATGATATCAGGTATTCGAAATAATGCTGTTGCTTTTATGTGTTACAGATAAGCCACATAATCCTATGGTAAATGCTGGAGCAATTGTTGTGACTTCATTAATAAAGGTAAAATGGTGACGTTTCCTTTTTACCTAGTACATCTTTTTAATAACTAAAGCATAAATGTGAATTTTGGATTATTTATGTAGAACTGTAAAAAGTTTTCTTTTGGTGTTAAATTACTCTTTTGGTATAAAATTAGGATATCTATTAATGTAAAAATAAATGATACAATTTCAAAACAGATGACTCATTGTAAATTTCAACAGTTATTCTTGATCTGAAGAGCTGGCAAAAATTCAAAAAGTCTCTGCTGAACAATAGGCACAAGTTTTTCTTCTTAAAGTTTTGGGTTTTTTTTTCTTTCTGTTCCTTTTGGCTCTTTTAAAATGAACAGATGTAAACAGAGTTAAAAACATTTTATTGTTTAATGTTTGTCATCATATGTAGGAACAAATGTTCTGGTACTTTGTGTTAAGACAAAGTACATTTACCCTTGAATATTCTCAAGTCTTTGACATTTTCATGAACTTTAATTATGATTTTCATTTAAACTTGTTTTATTTGGTTTACTTCAATCATACTAGTATAATAACTAAAGTAATTAAGACTTAATTCCAATTATTAAGTTACATTATTTTTTATGCTTTGGTTTGCATTGTATGTTTTAATTAAAAAAATTTTTCAGTGTCTGGTTTGCCTTAATAATTGGAAGCTCTATTGTAATGTTTGAAATTAGTATTTGAAAATAGTTCTGTTGTGTGGTATTATTTAGATTTTATTATGTACTTTAGTTATAGTCAAGTAAGTTTCATTTGTGTTTGGAACATTTATGTGCTGTCTTAGTAAATCTGTGCTGTGTGTTCCAAGCTTGAAAAAGTAAATGTATGGCTTTGTAGGTGTGTGACTGAGGATGGGATATCTTGGCTAGACAAAGAATGTTTGAATATAAATTATGCTCTTGGCCCAATTAATGAAAATTCATCTACTTTTGTATGCTAGGAATCCTCTGTTTCATGAATTTTATATGCTCATGAGAAGAGGCCTTTAAATTATAAGACTAATCTTAAGAATATGTATGTCTATTGACCCACTTAATCCTTGTAACTCTAATGACATAGGTAATATAACCAAGTGTTATTTTTTAATGTAACTAATTCAGTAAGCTCTGGAAATTTTCATTTTGTCCATTATAGCATCTAGTTATTTATGATCGTTTTGCATAGGAGAAAAGTTGTCAGTTTGAGGCGAAAAGAAACTATTTGTCTCTTCTAGAAAATTATAATATGAATATAGCTAGGCACAGCCCTGCCTTCAGGTGGCTTACATTATAGTGTGGAGTATACACAAGTAAATGGGCCCTTACCATGCAGTGCAATAAACACTGCAATGAGAGAAAAGTCTCATTAATAATTGTTAGATTTGAATAAGTAACTTGAGTTAGAGGTGAGCAAATTTATAATAATATATTGTATGTGTTAATAGTGCTTAATGAAAAAACAAGAAGGGTTCTGAACCTTTTGTGGATCTTCCCAGAAAAAATGTTCACATACCATGATTTTATGTAACTTTTTGGGAGTTCACAGACCCTTTGAAGCTGATCCATGGATCCTAGTTTGAGCTCTTATGCTGGAGAAAGATTAATGTGGCACAACAATAGTATCAAGAAAGGGCATATGCAAATGCCTTCCCTAACTCCATTCATCTTGTGTTTAATGATTCCTGGGTTTAATATACCACACTGCAAGGCCACGTGTGGGAAATGCATGTCTGGTCATACCATACTGTCACTTCATTAGTTTCACTTACCATGTTCATTCACAGCCATGAACTTCACATTAAGCCATATTAACGTGAGCACTTAGAAACAGAGTTAAAACACACATACACAAGTGTGGTTCAGCGTCCAACAGAGCAAAAATTTAACTGAGTCATCTTGTACTTACAAATTTGATCATGATTTTAAATTTATAAAAGTTTAAGTTTACTGGAAATGAAGCTTTAGGGTATGGTTTATAGTTAAGGTCACTTTAAATTTTTATTTTGATTGTTTTTTAGAAGGTGTTTCACAAGGGTTTTTTTTTTTTTAATGATCTTTATCTAAATCTAGAGATACATCGGGGTAAAGTTGGTGTACCTCTAAAACTCGCTGCTCCAGTATATAATAGACTCTTCAAAAAAGAATTCAAAACTCTTATATTAATTGTATGTAATCTCTACAAGTTATATGACCATGTAATGTTTATGAGTTGGTCATTGAAACTGGGGTAAGAAAACCATAGCCGAAAGGTTCTTCAAGCCCAGCACCCTCACTTTAACATGTGCAGTGAAGAAATTGCATGGGTTTTAACTGCAGCAGAATCGGGCTTGAGCTAAATCTCCTGATTATTCTGTTTGCTGTTTCTGTTAATTACATCTTTGTCTTTACCTGCCACAGTTATATTGTCCAAGAAGTAGAAATTTTATTTTCTGAATTTTAATTTATACAAACGATACAAATTTACTGGCTTAAAAGTCACGTCTGATTTTCAGTGGTGCATGGTCATTCTTGAGACAGTAGTGGATGCTCACTACCTGTAGACCTAGGCCTTTGCTCAAGGAGCACCCAGAGCTTGGGTATTTTATCACGGCTACGAGATAGGATTCTCTTTTTTAGCTTTTTGTTAATGTCCTTCAAGCTATGTTTTTTCCTTTCAAATTCAAAACTTTATTATGGTGCTATTAAAATAGTCTCTTCACGTTACTTCCATTCACACACACACACACACACACACACACACAAAGTAGAGTCTTTAGTAAGACTCTTTATTTCATAATTTTGTAGTATTGATATTTTTTCCTTGTAGGATTGGTGGTGATCCTCAGGAAATGGGGCAAGAGGCAGAACAAGTGTTCAAAGGATTAGCAGATTGTGGAGAAAAGGAGGATTTGGACAGAAGCAACCTGTTGCATAAATTCTTAACTACTAAACTTGTAGGAAACCGCCAATATTTAACATGTTAAACAAAGCTATATAGGTAAATACCTTCATAAAAGAAATGTCATTTTGTACATAAAAAATAAATAAATAAAACATAAAGGTACTATACTTCCTCTCTTTTTCTCTATGGTAGCTATTAAATTTAAAGGAATACTTTGTGATGTAGTTTTATTGGATGATGATGATGTGATCACTTGATTTAAAGAGGAAAAATAAATTTGAAAGGGGCACTGTTATTCTGGGTGGAATAGTAGTATTCTTACGTAATTTTTTTCTTTCCAGTGGTAAAACTTTGCATGTAGCTGTAGTTTGAAAGTTAAGCCTGATAATAATAACTTGAGGATTAGGGCATGAAAAACGAGGATAACATATTATAAGATTATTGCCACACTTCTGCTTTTTTATCTTAAAAGACTTACATTGTCTTTGTTTATGTATCTATTCTAGTGGTAGTTTCCAGTGTTTGTCATTTGAAGAAGCTGTTTTTTAATATCAGAAGTATTTTTTAATTTAAAAAATAAGAAGTTTGTTTCCCTTCTTTCTCTTAAAATGAGTTAATCATGCTCCATGAAAATCTGCTTGTTGCGATGCTCCGTTTGGTTATGTCAGCAGTAACCTGTCAGGCTGGCTGGGAAGCCACATTTTTAAGGTGGTTTGTGGCTCTGGGAGCAATTGATGATGCCTTGGACTTGCTGACATGCATAAGAAAGGGTTGTATGGGTTTATTACTTCATGTTTATATCACGTTGGTGTATTTGAGGTTTCTTTTAAATGAAAAATAATTTATTGCCAAACAGTTCACTTCTTTGTTGCTTTATTTTTAAGCAAATTTATTGGTTTAAAAGTTACATCTGATTTTCAGTGGTGCATGGTCATTCTTGAGACAGTAGTGGGTGCTCACTACCTGTAGGCCTAGGCCTTTGCTTAAGGATCACCCAGAGCTTGGGTATTTATTTTATCATGGCTACGAGATAGGATTCCATTTTAGCTTTTCGTTAATGTCCTTCAAGCTATGTTTTTTAATCTATGAAAAAACTAGTTTTAGAACATTATTTTTTATCTGTAATACCTATTAAAATACTCCAAATATTTAGCTTTTAAAGCATTCTCTTTAAAGCAAGATTAAACTTGGGAGTATTTTATAAAATTTTCAGTTACTTTGTTTTGCCTTACTTCTAGGCGTCTTTTCTCTAAGATCTATAATTGTCGGTTGGCTTTTATATCCATATTTTATGGATGGAATCAAGTTATTTATATAGAAAAGAATGGATTAATGCAGCGACTTTGTCATTTTTATATTAAATTTATTTCTGTTAACAGTGATATTTTCACCTGTTAAATTGTAGCATACATGATTCAGTTCATGAGTATTTTGTAAAAATGGGTTGTAAAACCACTCTAGTAATACATTTTATCAGCCAGTGTTGAAACACTGCCTCTTTATCAAATTTTCATTCATAAAGTTTTCTTTAAAGGAATGTAGATTCTTTAATATCTTTGATAGGTATGTTTATAGAAAAATAAATATATATAATTTTGTAATCTCGATCTGATTACTGCCCTTTCAAACAAGCCATGTGGTTTGCTTTTTAAAAGTCATTTGGTCAGCTCTGGCTGGTTTTGCTCAGTGGATAGAGCGTCGGCCTGCAGGTCCCAGGTTTAATTCCTGGTCAGGGCACATGCCCAGATTGCGGGCTTGATCCCCAGTGTGGGGAGTGCAGGAGGCAGCGGATCCACGATTCTCTCTCATCATTGATGTTTCTTTCTCTCCCTCTCCCTCCCTCTCTGAAATCAATAAAAACATTTTTTTAAAAAAAGTCATTTGATCAGTGGATTAGAAATTTAGTAAGTATATTTTGTCCAACTTATTTTTTTTAAAGTTTTCCTGCTATACTTAATGTAACTTTTAAAGATTAAAATAACACGATATATAATAATGCTGCAGTGATTTAAAACTGGAATAAACATATTTCTGGTCATAGGGTTTTTCCCCCAAGAGTAAAAGGCGTGCTTTAGATTATCAATTTTCAAATCTCAGTTTTTATATATGCTTTTTTAGAAGTTAATCTGCCTTTAATCTAGGTTTCCTCCCACTTCCCAAAAGAAAGGTATACTTCTCATGTGTCCCAAATTTTACCATGGTGCACTGCTTCCGGTTCTGAAAACCTGTGGGCCACCAACAAAAGAGAACATTTGGAATAGTGGAGTCAGTGGTAGTGAGGATGTGAAGCACTGTAGTGACTGGGAGCAGGTCCTCTTATAATACCAGGTTGTTTCAGTTCTTTAGTTTCAGCAGAATAGAAGGAGGATCTAATCGCGGTGTTAGTTTTTGTAGCAGCAATTAACATAATTTTTGAGGATTATTGTGACTTCCGTATGTAATGAGATAGATGTGTAAAATACTGTGACATTGCTTTTTTTTTTTTAATATATTTTATTGATTTTTTACAGAGAGGAAGGGAGAGAGAGACTTAGAAACATCGATGAGAGAGAAACATCGATCAGCTGCCTCCTGCACATCTCCCACTGGGGATGTGCCCACAACCCAGGTACATGCCCTTGACCGGAATCGAACCCGGGACCCTTGAGTCCACAGGCCGACACTCTATCCACTGAGCCAAACCGGTTTCGGCATCACATTGCTTTTAAACCTTTTCTATTTCTATCTTCTCATCTGTTGTCAGTGATATTTCTCAACTTGTGCATTCGTAAAAATTTAAAATAGTGAAAGAATTAAACTCATTCTAGTAATAGAAAATATCCACTGATACATGAACTAATTAAAAATCAAATACTGTTTTAAGGGTAAAGAAAATATTCTCAAGGATGAATTTTGTAAATTAACATGAGAAATTATTAGCAAATAGACGTTTTCCCTTTAATATTTAATGAGAATCTTCAGACATACACAAAATAAAAGGGAAGAGTCTACCCAGCCCCCATGTGCCCATGACCATTTTAATTTTCACCCCTGTCCCTCCACACCGCTGCACCCACTAATTGATGATGAGGATGGTTTTTTAAGTTCACGTTTGCTTATTTGTTTGCAGGGTATTTATTCTATTTGTATGCGTAATTTTTTTTTATATATCTTTACAAATAAGTTCTATATAGTAACTTTTTCAAAATAAAAATAACATGACATCTTATGATTGTTTGGGTTCATGAAGTCTTTCCAAGAGATACAGGGGCAAATATATTTATTGACTTAAATTAAATGCTATTTCCAAGATAGATAATAAGAATAAATAGTAACCAAGTGCTTTTACATTTAAATGGGGTAAGTTTTGGAGAGAGTTTTTTGATTCAACACCACCATTCAAATATTTTATTTTGATTTTTTACATAATTTGTCTAGAACACTTCAAGTAGCTTACTCAAATTTTTTATAATGATAGGCATTGGTAAATATGAAAGTTTTTTAAAAAACCACAGGAACAAAACTCAATCGTACTTGATTTTCGTAAGCTACAGAAAGGTGGCCATAGTCTAGGATTCGAACAGTTTTTCTTTTTTCCTTTTCTTTTTTCTTTTTCTTTTATTAAACACAACAGGTGAATAAAGAAAATTTGTGTTAATTTTATAGGGCACAGTTTAGGTGAGAGAATGAAAGTTCAATATAACTTGTTTTACATTGATTAATTGTATAACCAGTAATCATGTGACATCACAATGCAAATGCTGACATCCTTTTCCAAAAGAGTTGTGATTCTTTTTGTTTGTTAGTTTTTTTGGGGTTTTTGTTTTTTATGCTTTTTTATAGGTTAAAAAGGTTTTTGTGGTTTAAATGTTGTTACATATTTTACAGCATTAGGATCTATGGAATATTTTGACAACTGCAACAGTTCAATGAAGTTGGTAATTTCTTCTTTTAATTATTTTTCATTGAACAGCTTCGGAGTTACATTTCTACATCCTGATTTCTGGTGTATTATAAGGAAAGAAAACTTAAAATATGTCAGAAGAACGTTTTAGAGCAAAGACATAGTGATTACAATATGGCTGTAGCTAAATTATCCTTGTATAAGTTTGTTAATAACTAATTTGGTGAAAAAATGTGGTGTTCTTTCTAGCTACTGATTATATATGTGGATTGTGCATTCTTTCTTAAAGTGATTTTTAGGATTCCACAGATTGTCAGCCACATTCTAATCTGCATATAAAGTGCAGAATGAACCTGGCTTTATTCAATTAAATAATACTCTCATGCAGGTTTTCCCCCCATACTAAAATTTTAATTACAATGTTTTGGATTTTTTGAAGGTAAAATTAAAATTTTTTATTTTTAAAACTATAGTTGTCAAATTATTTTATTTTGAACCTGTTTTAAACTTAGAGATGTATTGTTTCTTTTGGGTGCACATCACCAATTAATACGTTTGATTTCAGATCTACAACTTACTGCTTTGTAAACTTCGCTGAGGTAAAATGCAACCGTTTGGCTACTTGAACTGATCTACATTACATAGGTTTTACCTATTGACATTTGCAGTAGCTAACATGTCAGAAATAGAAGTGATGAAACAATACATCTTCTATATTCTGAATTGGCACAATGCTAAATACAGACGTAGCTAACTTTTTAGAGACTCTGAAATATGTTTTTTTATTTCAAGGTTTATTATATAACAAGTGAAATATTAAAAGTAGAGCTTTCTCTACACTAGTAAAATCTATCCAGAATGTTTGCATATACTAGAATTAAAAGATTAATTTTGCAACATAACTCATTTTTCTAACTATATATTGGTTTAAGGTTATTTAAAAAATATAAGTAGATTGCTCTTAATTTAAAACCATACTTACTTTTTCTCTAAGGGTGACACTTTATTTTAAGTTTTTTAAAAATATGGAATTAACATTGTCTAGCAGATTATCTGTCATGAAAGATACGGGATTTGGAGTAACTTGTATTTAAAATTCTATAACTATGGGTTGGGTAAAGTTATACTTAAAATAAAGCATTCCCTTTGTAACTCGGATAATTTTCAACATAGGATATTAATGAAAAAAATGTATATAATTTATGTAAATATTAGGTTACTTTAGAAGCATTTTCTAGATTTGAAAGTACTAATGCACAGTATATTAATTTTATGATAGTTTGAAATTTTTATATTATATTCATTTAAAACTTAAATGTGGTACCTTCATTAATGTTTTCATGTCTCATTTCTTTGTAGCAAGGAGTGAATAATGCTGAAAAATTTGACTATGTAAGTGCAATATAGAATTCAGTTTTCATGCTACATTCTTTATATCTTTGTTTTTTGATACTGACACCTTTAAATTTTGGTTTATAGGTGATGCAGTTTTTGAATAAGATGGCTGGTAATGAATATGTTGGATTCAGTAATGCAACGTGAGTCTGCTTTATGACTTAGGATTTTATAATAGGCCATTCCTCTTGTCTGCTTTTTATCAACCTCTCTCCTTAGTAAAAAAATATATGTGTATCTCTACGTGTACACACACACACACACACACACACACACACACACATTCTAGAGGCTTGGTGCACGAAATTCCTGCGCAGGGGCGGGGGGAGGAGTGGTGGTTCCTCAGCCTGGCCTGCGCCTGTTCCCAGTCCAGGGATGTCTGGCTGCCGGCTGGGGCCTTCCTTCATTCCACGCCACCTCCTGGTGGTCAGTGCATGCCATAGCGAGTGATTGAACTCCTGGTTGAACTCCCAAGGGGACACTTTGCATGTTAGCCTTTTATATATATAGATATGTACATTTATGTGGGTGGCTTTTATTCTAAACTCTTTGAAATTACATAAACATCATGACGATTCACTTTTAAATAACTTCACCTGTGTATCCTAGGAATATTTCCTATATAACTATAGTAGCATCAACATTTAAGGACATTATTTAACATGTGATATTAATCAATGTGTAGATGTCCCCAAATGTCCTCTAAATGCCATAAACTAATTAAGGAACTAATCATGGTCTCTTGTCTTTTAAAAGTAAAACAGTCTGCCTGCCTTAGTCTCTTGCTTTTAAAAATTTTATTAAATGACTTTTTTTTTAAGCGTGCCAATCACTTATTTTCTAGAGCAAGAATTACCTAACTTTTTCTGTGAAGGACCAGGTAATAAAAATTTTAGACTAGTAGTCTCTGGTACAGCTATTAGTTCTACTCTGAGTATGAACGTAGCCATATAAGCAAACCTTATTTATAAAAACAGGAAGCAAGTTGGGTCTAGCTCATGGGCTGTAGTGGATATTCTCTGTTTTTAGTAGGCCTGGTTGTTCCCTTGTGATTAGATAAAGTTGAAATACCTCTGGCAGGAGTTCTAATTGGGCGATGCTTTGTATGTTTCAGAGGGCAAACATTTTCAGGTTGTCTGCCTTACCAACTGTTATTCATCAGCTTCAGTAACTTTCCCAGGAAGCTTTTTATTAATTTCATCTCACCCTTCTGTGCTCTCATATATCCTTGAACTATTTCTATATCATGTCTTTGTCCCATTGTCACCATTAGACTCTGCCCTCCTTAAGACCTGGTAGAGTGACTTCACACTATTTCTCTTTTTTCCCATCAAGTCTGAAGATTTGCACAACTGCTCTCATTTTAGTCAAACTTCTCCCTCCAGGTCTATCATCACTACCTAAATTCAGGCTTCTTGTAATTCTCATTACAGTAGTCAACCTAATAACATCACTCATCCTTTCTTTTTCCCCTTTCCCAAACTGATGTCAGAACTAACCTTCTAAAATGTAGAGTTAACAAAGTAGCTTGTTTGAGAGCTTTAAGCACCCATTCCGTTGGCAATCAAGATCTATTACATTTCTTAGCATTTATCAGTCTTGATAATTTGGTCCTAGTCTCCTTTGTTAGTTTTTTTTTTAATTATTAACCTTTATTGTTAATAATTATTGTTAATTACAGAGGTCCCCACCCCCCATAGCTCCCCTCCACCCAGTTCCCACCCCGCCCAGGCCCTTGCCACCCTATTGTCTGTCTATAGGTAATGCATACATGCATATAAGATCTTTGTTTAATCTCTTTCCCCACACCCCCTTCCCTCTGAGAATAGTCAGTCAGTCAGTCATTTCCGTGCCCATGATTCTATTCCATTCACCAGTTTTATTCTGTTCATCAGATTATTTTACTCATTTGATTTTTTAGATTCAATTGTTGATAGATGTGTATTTGTTGCCACTTTGTTGTTCATAATTTTTATCTTTACCTTTTTCTTCCTCTTCCTCTTCTTGAAGAATACCCTTCAGCATTTCATGTAATACTGGTTTAGGGAGAGAGAGAGAAACGACCATTGGTTGCCTCTTGTATGCGCCCCAACCTGCAACCTAGGGTGCTGAGTAGGTGCACAGTCAGTGACGTGTGGTCCATGGACACGCACCCAGGAGAGGAAGGTGTGTGCACCTTCCTGTCCTTGCTTCCACCCAGCAGAGCTATGGAGCCTCCTAACGAGACACCCACGAGTCGGTGGTCCAGGGAAGCGGGGTGTTCGCAGAACGAAGGGTCCTCCCCAGCCTGCGGAAGCCGCCTCTGAAGGCACCGGAGGTCACGGGGCGGAACAGCGCTCCCTTTCTCGTCCACACCCACCGTCCAGACTGCAGAGGAGGCTCCTTGCCACCCTGTCCTGCCCTCAGCTTCATCCTCCGCCCTGAAGGAGGGAGGGGGCCAGTCACAGGCTTTGACAAGCAGTCACTTTAAAGGGAGACGCTCCAGGCTCTGGTTATGGAAGGAATGTAGCTGGCGGCCGGAGGAGGACGCTCGGAGTAGACATCCCTCCGGTTTCTCTGATTCGCTTGTTTCCCTCCCCCAAGGCAAATCAGGAAGGCATTCCCACCTGGGTCCCGTACAGAGTGTCCTCTCCCTCCCTCTCTGCAGCCACGGGCTGCCCTGGCTACGGAACGAGAGTATTTTGGGAGGTGGGGACATCGAGCCACAGGGCACTTGTCCTCCTTCCTCCCG